AATAAGACGCCCTTCAGTTTTTAGGGTAAGGATTTTAGAAAAAAGTATTGTCTTATAGTCGTAAAAATATGGTAGTATTCCAAAACTAATGTATGGATTGGAACTTAGTTACCACTGGTTTTCATATATGCTCATTCTATCCACATTCTTCTTGAAATTTTTAAGAAGCAAACATGTCTATATGTTATAACACTTTTTTTAAAAATAAATATATTTTAAGCGCCATTGAAATAATTCTTGAAATGCAAATATTGTGTGGATTTTTTTAAAAAGAAGCAGATGAATGAGCAACAGAAAAGGAGCAAATGTATGAGCCTGTAAAAGAGAAGTAGGCCTGATACTGATTTGTCTATTTGTATTTTCAATTTTTAAAACCCTCATAATATAAGGCGCTTTGAACTTTGGGAATTGAAAAAAAAGTATGGGGGGTATGCTAAATCCACCTTGCGAGAACTTTTTTGAGGCTTTGGAAATCCTCATATTATCAGAGGATTCATTATAATATCCCATTGTTTTGCCAGGACAAAATCACATCTTATTCTGAACTATATCATGACTATACCACTACCCAAGTTGGCATGCACGATATAGTCCGCAGTTTTCGGCATACCATGAATAAGTTCAGCAGTGAACCTGGTAGATACAGGTAACAGTACGACGACATTTTTTTCTATTAGCCCGCTTTTATTTATCTTACATTATTCAAAACTGTAACGTTCCCCAGTGTCGAGCTTCTCTGCAGCAAGCTGAACAGGTAAGCAGCCACACAAGGATGCGAGAATTTCTGTTTATTATAGAAAAGCTAAGAAACCATTACGAAAGAATACCAGTGACTGTTGTATATCAAATGTGAGTTCTATTTATACTGCAATCGGTGTTCAAATTCTTCTGCCACTTTCTCCTGCCTGGTTTGTGTTACGGACTAGAAGCATCTCTCTGTCGGGAGGGACAGTTTCCATCTGTTCAGTGTTTTGGCAATGGTCAGACCTGGTGTCAGGCTGTTTGCTTCTGACTGTGGGAAAACTAGCTCTCAGACCCATGAAACAGGCTGATAATGTTAGTAGGCAAGGTGCAGTGCGAGGGGAAACATTATAAGAAAGTCGTCTGGGTTGTTTGATAACCAGAGGTGGGTAACCTTTGGCCTTTCAGGTATTGGACTACATCTCCCATAATCGCTGACCATTACCATGCTCACTGGAGCTAATGGGAACTGGACTCCAAAAATGTCTAGAGTGTCAAAGTGTTAATTTGTGGAAAGCAAATTCTATAGTCACAGCAGTATTTGATACTGTAAACTCCTCTGATTTCAGCAGAGCTGGCATTGTAACCTAAGTGGCAGACTTGCTGCCTACCCAACAAAAAATATAGCAATTATCTCAAATCCCACAATATATACCTGTTATACTTTCTTTGAAAGCAAAACACATTTAGATGAATAAATCTTCAGCCAGCTAGTCATTGTGTGTTGAACTTAGTATCTCATTACTAATTTTTATAATATGTTTTATTACAATTCAAAGTTCTGTTATACCTGATTTTTAATTTTTGCCAGAGCAAAAATTGTTGCTGATATTCACCTTCGTTTCAATTCACAGTCAATAAGAACACATATTTTAGCAAGATAATTGGTTGATGCCATGTTTTTCAGTAAGAACATATTAAAATATTTGATTTTTCCTTCTCTACACGAGGGCTGTATATCTTTAGGGAATTAGCTAGTTGCCAAATCTTTTTTGTATTTGTAGTTAGTTAAGCTAAATTCTTAAGAGGCCTGCTGTGCTTAACCAGGCGCTTAGAACCAAAGGCAATTAAGCTGGTGCTGGCAGCTGCTCTCGGCCGGATGCTGGAGGAAGAGGGCTGGCAGAGACCGGCGTGTGGCTCATCATCTGTGACAGACAACCCAGACATTGGTGATGCGCTTTCTGCCAGGATCTTGACCCAGCATCAGACAGGCTGGCAGCAGCTGCTGCCCTTTCTGCTTCCTCTTGCTGTGGATATGGTGGCTATACCCTGTCCTAAAATTTGGTGCATGATTGACGAATTACAGTTTTTCAATACAGAAAAATCCTGGTTTGGAAAAGCTATTATTTTCTCAGAAGGAGAGAGGGTGTTCGAAGAGTTGCTTCAAAACACAAGGCTTCTCTTCTAGGAGAACAGGAATGGAGCAGTTCTCCCTTATT